ATACACTGTGTTCCTTGTAGGAGACTGTTTGTACAGTGATATCTTGACCTTCCTTGGTAGAATTTTAACCCTGCACCTAACAATATGTGATGCTGCACTAGAAAACTTTTCAGTCCCTGGGCTCTCCTGCACATAATTTGCACACAGGATCCTGTACTTTTACAAGTGCTTATTATCTATGGGATAGATAAAATAAATCAAAGTTGTTTGATGTACATTGTAGATTAATATTTTGAAAGAACACAGTCTGAAATCTAAGAGAAAGTATTATAAATACTGCTCTGGGCATTTGCACCTGGAAGTCTAGGTATGTGTTTACTTTATATGAAGTGTGTGTAGCCTGGATAGAAACCAAAATGGAAAACTGACCCAGAGTGTTGTATTTTTGGCTGAACAATACTCGCTTACTTTGTACACCATAAAATACAAATTTGGGAAGTAGAAATAAAAACTGTCTCATTAACAGCAAGCTTCATATTTAGAATTGGGTAGATCTCTAATGAAGTTTCATATATGCAGAAAGGTTATTTCCTAGCTATGTAAGGCAATATTTCCTTGATACTCAGAAACTGAAGAAACTAGTAACGATAGCTATGTAACAATACAAGCAAATCCTAAAAAACATTGATTCAATGACTGATTATGTATTTTAGACTTTAGCTACATGAGTGAACCTCATGCATTTGTTTGACTGTAAATAAAAGGTGCAGGTTGAATGGTTTACAGCTTTTAAAAGCCTGATGTAATTTGAAAACGTACTGCAATCGCTGACTTAGCATCCAGTTTGCCTTAACAGTTACAGTAGACCCCCAATTTATGCGATTCTGACTTATGCGTCTCGCGTTTATATAATTTTTTTATTAGGGCCCGGACTGGAAAATGCCCCTCGAGATGCGTGTCATTCACATATATACACGAACACTCACGAGATTCGCATATATACGCACATATATACACGAACGCCTCACAAGATTTGCAGGCAGAATCAAGCGGAGCTGTGCCACCATTGTGGTAGCGGCATCTCAAGATACATAGGTGAGACGCTAGACGCACCTCCTAAAGGTGATTCCACTGAGAAAAGGGGGGGGAAAAAGCTATGACTAAGGTATGTTTGGGATACGCAACCCCTCACTATTCTATTATTTTCTATGGGGAAAGTCTAATTCAACTTGCATGAAATTCCCCCGGAACGCAATACTTGCGTAAATCGGGGGTCTGCTGTACATACAGATGCTATTTGTGATCTAGCACAGAATTTCACAGTAATCTAGAACAATAGTGTAGCAAAGAGATAGTATTCAGATGGACAGCCACTACATTTGCAGGTATAGCTGGTTAATATGACTTTTTACTGTACAATGCAGATTCACTGAAACCAAAACTTCTTGTGGGAAGTTGCAAGAAGTAAGGAGTCTTTGGTTTTGTCTTTTATAGAACCAATGTATAGCTGGGAGAAATGGTAGACAAGCTTTCAGGCACAAAGTCTGGGGAAAGAAGTAGTTACAGCCCAATCTAAATACCAAATAAAATTATTTTTATCTGTAAATGAAAATGGTTACTTAAAGAAGTTGAACAGGGCTTTAAACTTGGAGCAAAGAGAAATTACTGGAAGTAGCTAAAAACAGATAAAGGGCCATTGTAATAGATAACCTAAATAAGTAAAAGAATGAGACCATTCATAGGGGGAAGACGGGTGTTATTACCTGTCGAATACAGAGATTAGCAGAGAGAGAAGGTAAATTTAAATGAGCCAGAAACCCATTATCTGTATTCAGCCCATGGTTTTTAGTATCTGGTAAAGTTACAAATTTTTGTTCCCAGGCCCATCTTCTGAAGGTATGTTATAGATTACCCTTGAGTACAAGGACTGAGGAATGGAGTGGTTCTGCTGTGAAAGATTTCTCACACTGGTTTCCTGTCTTTCATCATTCTTCTGAGATTTCATTTTGCAGCATAGTGGTTGTTGTTTGCACCCACGTAGTTTCCGCGAGGGTATGTCATGCACTGGGTGAGGCATGTCACATTCTGTGAAGGACGTGTAGGATCTATTCTAGGACTTTCAGTGGCTTCGTTGCAGGGTGTGTTGATTGTGGAAGTATGCTGACAAGTTTTGCATTTGCTGTTTACACAGGGGCATGTTCATGTTGGGAATATTTATCAAGGTTTTGTCCTCTTCAAGTATAGGCTGTGTGATGATCCTTTTTATTAGGAGCTTTGTAACCACCAGGGGTGTGTGGTCAGTGCTTTTTTGTTTGTATGTTTTGGTATTGTAGTAGGTTTGTAGGGGGTATTGGGGTGGCTTGTTCCATGATGCAGTCTATTTCTCTGCTGGAGTGCCCTAGCTGGGTAAAGACAGCTTTTAGATTTGAGGTAGGTGCCATGAGTACTTTCAGCGATGATAGTGGAGTTTGAAAGCCTGGCTGTAAACAGCTCTCCTGGTATGTGTGGGATAATTACTAGTTTTGTGAAGGTAAGAGCTGGTTGGTGGTTTTTCTTATTTATAATAGGTTCTAGGGTGCCATTTTTTATGTGGAATGTGGTATCTAGAACACTGACATTTGCGTAGAGTATTCCAGCGAGAATTTGATGGAATTTGGTGGTAGCTGAAGCTGTGGTAGAAATCAGTAAGCTGTGGTAGAAGTCCAAGTTTTTAGTACAGATGCTGAAAATATAATCTGTGTATTGCAAATATAGTGCAGCTTTGATGGTGCGGTTTTCTAAAATCTCCGCTTCAGGGTGACTTATGAAGTTGCTATATTGGGTAGGCCATCTTTGTGCCCGTAGTTGTACCTATAGTTTGAAGTGTAAGTTGTAGAAAGTAAGGTTGTAGATAAGAATGAAATGGCTGATTTATGTGATAGATTCTGGTTGTAGTCATGTAGTCCATGTTCTTGAAGATATTTTGGGCAGGCAGCAATGGCGCAGGATGTTAATGTACAAGAGAATGTACATTATGGACTAGTGTCATCCACAGTTGCAAGTATGGTCTTCTCAAGGAGGTGATAAATATTCTGGGTCTTGTTGAGGAAGTTTGTTGTATGTTGCAGAAGACTTGTTTTTTGAGTGACAGGTGCTTTGAGGTTGGTTTATCTGAACCTCTTAGTTCTTCAGCAAGAGTACCATTTTGGTATCATAGGTTTGCCTCAGTTACCTTGTTTGTGCATCTCATAGACGTGTTAAATGTTCCTGGGGTAGGAAAGTGGGGGGTGAATTTATTTATTTATGTATTTAGTTCTATTTGAAACTAGTATAGAAAGGATTTGATGATGGTTTTGAATTCAAGGAGCAATATTGGTGTGGGGGCCTCCCTTAGTGGGAACTTTTAAGTTTTAACAAAATGTCACAAAGGTTTCTTGGGTTCAGAGCGAGGACTTGAACTTGGATCTCCTACATAACAGTGCACACAGTCTCACTTTTCATAAGTGTAAAATGTAAAACTTCAGATTTGTTCTGATATGGAATGATTTTTTTCTTTTTTGCCTTTTATAACATTTTGAAATTTTTACTATACAGGCATTTGAGTTCATGACCTTTTGAACAGTTGAATTGCTGTATGGGTTCATAGGCAGTACTAATTACAACCTTTTTATTTGAAAAAAATACAGGTGGTCTTCACTCTAACCGAGTACCTAATAAGAATTCTGTGCTTGTGAATCATTTGCACATCCAGTAGGCAAAACAATAAATCACTGAATACCTTTAAAAATAAAAATATTAATAAATATAACTGAAGAAACTACTTTTCTGGCATGCAGAATTGCATGATCGAGTTCAAGATTTTCAAAGTTAACTAAAATATTAAGGACTCAATTGCAGTAAATTTGTGCAGTCATAATTATCTTTCCACATTATCTGGTCCCTCTTCTATATAAAGCACACTTTAAAAATGTTGATTTGCTTGTTGTAAAAACATATTTCATATATCAAGATTATTATTTATAAAGTGCAAATGATGCACTCGTACTTAGTGGCATAATACATTGGAAGATTCATGTTTGAGAACTTGATCAGTCAAATGTTGATGTCAGTTTTGGACAGCACTTAAATATATGGTTTCAAGTTAAATACATTCTTAATTGACACTTACTTTAGTGGAATTTAAGTGTGTTGCTGTGTTAAATAGGGCTGTCCTGGTGTTGAAAGGCTTAAGACATTTTCCTAAAATGTTTTTAAGACTTTATTCTACAGTTCATGCTGTTGTCATAACAGCAGTGCCTCCTTGTGTGCAGTGGATTGCATGATGGAGGTCTTCAATAGTTTCCATCAAAACGCATATTTCCCTAAACTTATGATGCCATTTTAAATAATGAGCCATGTTTGCAAAGTGTCTTAAATGTTTTATCTAAATTTGTCTGCTATTAAGTGAGACATGGTTTCCAAAGAGAGAACTAGCTTTGAATTCTGCCTTGAGATTTCAGCTTATGAAAAGAACCTTTTCATTTTTGAAATTTTCTAAAATTTCCTTTTTTGTGAGCATGTATTTATAAAACCCTTGTAACTGAGAAGATGTGCTTCATTAGCTCTGAAAACTGCTGTAAACAATTCTGTCATGGGTTGGTTGTTGTTTTTTTCAGCCATGGGAACAAAGAAGGATTTTCCTGTCGAGGGATTCAGCTAGCTGTTGACTGGTTCCTAGAGAAAGGACACAAAGATATCACTGTATTTGTACCCGCGTGGAGAAAAGAGCAATCTCGACCTGATGCACCAATTACAGGTATCATTTCCAAACTTATTTAACCCCTTGTCATTACATGATTTAATCATTTATTGCAGCAAAATACTGTATTTACTTGGTTAAAAAAACCCAGGGGTATAACATTATCATCTGAAGCTCAGAGCAACAGTAACTTTGATGCAGTATAAGTTCAGTTAAATAGTATTTTACCTTTCATTACAAAAGATATTTGAAAGCACTTCCCAGAATGTGTGTCAGCCTGAAATGCCACTTGTTGAGCATTAATGTTTCCTCCCGGTGCCAAGCATTTTAGAAAAAAAAGAACAGATTCTTGGTCTTACTCCAGCAGGTTTCTGCCAGTCCAGCAGCCAAGGACTTCTCCAACTGCAGGAAATCTTTGCGTAACATGAAGTCAGCGTGGAGTTTAGCCCAGTAAATTTGCATATGTTCCTGTAGTCTCAAATAGCAGGAAGAACATTATTATAATTCACAACTGAATTTTAACAATAAATGCTTCAGAGAGAGGTATAAAAAATAACATATCTAGTCAAGCATACAGTGCATGCAATACAGAGGGGTGAGAGAGTGGTTGTGAAAGACTAATTACTGAATATTTGTAAAGTGCTTTGAAAACCTTGCGTGAAAAATGCCATATTAGTCTGTACGGATCCACATCTGGTTCCCATTATCACTGTATCTGAAGGAGAGCAGTTGTTCTCATTGCAGTCACATTTTCATCACAAAGGTTTTGTGTGGGGGAAGAAAAAATGTTAGTGAAAACTGAATGACTTCTTAACACAGCTATTTAAAACCCTTTACGTTTGTATTGCAGATCAAGAAATTTTACGTAAATTGGAGAAAGAAAAAATTCTTGTCTTTACCCCATCTCGGAGAGTTCAGGGAAGAAGGGTGGTCTGCTATGATGATCGGTTCATTGTAAAACTAGCTTATGACTCGGATGGTATCATTGTGTCCAATGACAATTATCGGGACCTTCAGAATGAGAAGCCGGAGTGGAAGAAATTCATAGAGGAACGGCTGCTAATGTATTCCTTTGTGAATGACAAGTATGTTCTTTCCTTATAAGCATGAAATCTTATAATAAGAGCTCACAATGGAAAGTAGAATGTACGTGTCTTTCTCTTTTTTCAGATTTATGCCTCCAGATGATCCTTTGGGACGTCATGGTCCAAGCCTTGAAAATTTCTTAAGAAAAAGGCCTGTTATTCCTGAACATAAGAAACAACCATGTCCATATGGTAGGTTTGCAATAGTCAGATTGTTATGAACAAAAAGAACCTGAGTAAACAATTTTAGTATCTTGTCATTAGACTTTATAAAGCCAAAACTGGCCTGTTTTCTTGTTAGCATCCAGATTCCATGCTTGTTTTTATTTTTAGTTTAACACCTGTATACCTTTTTAAAAACAAAACCTGGAAGTGAATTAGGGATAAACAAACAGTTTAAAACATTCAGATGTTTGGCTTTTCAGTCATGAAGCTGTGGGTTCAAATTCCTCATGGATATTGCCCCACAGAAAAGTTACAATTTTCAGTTTCCACTCCAGGAGGAAGGCTTGTGCTCTGTAAACTCTGATACAGATTTTTTTTTTTTTTTGCTGCCTTGTATACTACTGAGCATATTACTAGAGCAACAGGAAAAGCACTGTCATTCACAGCTGAGATGTGCTGACATAGCTGTGTGTAGGAGGCCTACCCAGTGACCGCCCTTAGAGATAAAAAGGAGTTGTATAGGTTCTTTTTTCATAAGCATTTGATTTGACCTAAAAATAGTTAAGGATTATACAATATTGAACACTGTACCTTTCTTTAGGTCATGTAATGCAGTTTCTTGTGTGGTCAACTGTTTTGGGGTATATCTCCTTTGCAGGCAAAAAATGCACCTATGGACACAAATGTAAATACTACCATCCAGAACGGGCAAATCAGCCCCAAAGGTCAGTGGCAGATGAGCTTCGAATAAGTGCCAAACTGTCTGCTGTGAAAACCATGAGTGAGGGAGCTCTGGCCAAATGTGGCATGGGGTCATCCACTTCCAAAGGAGAAATCAGTTCTGAAGTGAAACGCATTGCACCAAAACGCCAGTCGGATCCGAGCATTAGATCAGTGGCTGTGGAACCCGAGGAAAAGCTCTCAGTAGCTCGGAAGTCCGAAGCCAGCTCCGTTCCTTCTCTTGTTTCTGCATTAAGTGTACCAACAATTCCTCCGTCAAAAAGCCATGCTGCCGGCGCACTGAATACTCGTTCTGCAAGCAGCCCTGTGCCAGGTTCATCACAATTCACCCATCAAAAGTCTTCGCTAGAGCATATGTCCAGTGTACAGTATCCTCCTATACTGGTCACCAATAGCCATGGTGCTTCTGTTAACTATACAGACCAGTATCCCAAATATGAGTCTTTGGGAGACCATGGCTATTATTCCATGCTCAGTGATTTCTCCAACTTGAGCATAAGCAGTATGCATAACACAGACTACTATGGGGTAGATGCAGACCAAGGGATGTATGCTAGAAACTCAAGCCCCTGTCCTGACAGTCGTTTAAGCCATACAAGTAATGATTCTTATTCCTCTTACAATGACTTGTATCTGGGAGTAGCAGATACCAGTCCAGAAGACAACATGAAGGTCCATAGGCTTTCATCACAAAATCGTCTTCAGCCTTTTACCCATGGTTACCACGAAGCCTTAACTAGAGTTCAGAGTTATGGAACTGAAGAACCCAAACTACCACCTCGCAAACAGTCTGTTTCCCACTTGGGGCTACATGTCCAGCATCCAGTTGTTGGAGCACGGTCCAGTTGTCCAGGAGACTACCCTGTGCCTCAGAATATGCATCCATCAGCCACTGCACAGCCAAGCCGTGCCTTGGTTATGACAAGAATGGACAGTATTTCTGACTCGCGGCTTTATGAAAGTAACCCTACACGCCAGAGGCGACCGCCCCTCTGTCGAGAGCAGCATGCTAGTTGGGATCCATTACCATGTGCAACAGATGCTTATTCTTACCAGTCTTATTCACTGAGTAATAACCTTATGCAACCATGTTATGAACCAGTGATGGTAAGAAGCATGCCTGAAAAGATGGAACAACTATGGAGGCATCCTTGGGTTGGGGTGTGTGGTGAGCCACGGGAACAGCATATCATCCCAGAACATCAGTATCAGACATACAAGAATCTCTGCAATATTTTCCCTGCAAACATAGTTCTCTCAGTAATGGAGAAAAATCCTCACATGACAGATGCACAGCAGCTGGCAGCCATGATTGTTGCCAAACTCAGAGCTGGGCGTTAAAGCATTAAAAACCCTTGTGGGACCTAAGAAGATAATGTTGAACCTGCCAGGGACACGATCTGGAGGAAAATGTGAATCGAGGCACTGGGTAAATAAATTGTAAATATTTTCTAAATCTGTGATATACAATTCTGTACATTGTTGTACCAATCATTCAGTATATTCTAAGGCACCTATAGAAGAGCAGATTGTATTGTAAATATAATGAATATTTTAGGATTTTAAATATAGGGATTTTTAAAAGTATTTTACAGGAAGTGCATACCTTATTGCATGGATATACTACTTAACTAAGAACTACAATGTCACATTTTTAGTGTCTCAAAGCTGTTCATACAAAATTATTGTTAGCAATTATATTGCATGTATGGATGTATAGTTTCAGTTTGATAAATATATAATTGACCTTTCAAAATAAGCTCTATACATTCCTGGATCATCTCTTAAGATTTTGGCTGACCTTTGACACTGCAGTTCTTAGTGTCAAATAATTTTGAAAAATGCTTGCCAACAATTTAAATAAGCCACAATTTGTAAAAAACAAAACAAAACAAAAAAAACCCAAAAACCAACCAACCAAACAAAACCCCAAAACCCCACCAAAATTAATTGATCCCCTTACACATCAACACCGTTAATATTTCTTAGCTTTTAGATCTGGCTGATGAGGACTCAGTTCTACAAAGCTCTAAGCTCCAGCACCCCAATGCAGGACTGAGCCCTATTCAGTAAATTAAAAACAAATTAAAGTGTAGCTTCCCTCTTCACGATTACAGATGAATTGTATTTTAAATGACCAGCATCCTGGATGGCTATAAATAAAAGTGAAATGTATATGGACTGCCATTCTCCTTATGAACTATGCATTACTTAACCTCAAGTGCAGGGGAAGGTAATGGATGGCAATGTGGGAATGTGCTGTTTAGCAGAAACCACAACACGTTTTGTGGCCAGGGCTGGTACTGGGAATGTTAAAACAACACTCCAAAAAGACAGATACATTTTTCAAAGGGGAAGGAGGCCAATTCTGAACAGGGATGCTACAGTTTTGGCTTACTGTAACCTGGCCTAATTTTGCACGTCAGATCCACGCAAAGGTGTGCATTTGCCTCTTGAAGGCTTTTAGAGCTCTTATTTTGACAGGCAAGAAGAAAAAGTTTGTGTGGCATTGTTTGCGCAACTAGTATTTTGCTCAGGGGTGGGAACCTTTGTAGCTAAATGTCTCCAGAAGAGGCGTTTATTGGTTTTTTTAAGCTGCACTGACTGGACGCCCTTTTTGAATCCAATGTATATTTCAGCATTTTGAACCATTTCTAACTCGATATGTCTCGAGCTAGGACTTGTTGACTTCTACTGTAGTTTTTTTCATGAAAGTTGAGAAGGCCTGGTTTATGGCCTTTTGTTTCTTCATGAGAAGGTGTGACACTGCCTAAATGTTTCTTACTGTGAAACACACGGAACGTGAGGCTGCAGTCAGGGTTGTTTCTGGCGTTTTGATAATGGCTTGCATGCTGCTTTTTGGTTATTTGTTTGTCTGAGGAACAAAATTATATCACTTCCTTCACTTGTGTTACTGTAGCAGTTGCATCTTGTGTATCTTGTGGGCTATTTATCATGTGCAAAATGTGTTCATGTCAGACAATAAAACGGTTACAGGTGCAAACAACAAATGTACTAGTATGTTTGATATTCACATCGTTTCACACATGATAAATATACTAGTGTTCACACAGGTACCTCTCAGATTACTTACATATTAAATAATGACCATGTCATTATGTATTTAAATGAGTTCACTTGAAGATTATGTCGTCTTCATATCTAGAGTCTCCATATCTAGAGTGTTTAAAAATAACTAAGTTTTAATTAGTTACATCATTGCTGTTAAAAAAAATAAAACTAATCTTCAGAAACAACGCATAATTTAAAATATTTTTAACTTTTGACCAACTTTCAGAGCAATTTTTATTAACCAGCATTTTATATTTTTACTTTCCAATTAGTTTGTATTATCTTCTCTTGTATGGGAAAAGCAGCTGAGAGCAATGCCTCAAATAACCAGAAATGACCTTTTGTTTGTTGATACAAATTGTATCTCTTTTTCTTGATTGTATAAAAAACTGTACAAAAACCATCTCTAGATTAACTTCAATATTGCATTTTCACCACAACGTTTGTGACACTGTGTGTCACAGGGAAGTAGCCCATGGGTAATTATGGATCTTTTTATTTAAAATGGGCACTTGTAGTTTATAGACAAACAAGAACAACTTTTCAAAAACCACTTTATTACAGCGTGCACAGATATTGTGTGTACACTTAAAAGCATTATATTATATAAAGTTATCTTTAGTCTATTTATTAAACAGATGCATTATTGCAATGGAATTTTATGTAAAAATTGGTGTTAATGAATCAGCTGCATGTGTTTATAAATATAGCGATAATATAATTGCTGTAGAACCTGCTTTGTCCTTCACAGGTAAATCATAAACATGATTTAGGTTTAAAAGAGGCTTTTGTGCACTCACCTTTTCCATCTTGCATGGAATTAAATATATGTATGTAGAAAAGCGTTCCTTTTTTCTCTAACTATACAAACTCTTGCAAAGCGTTTGGTAGATGTCTTTCAGTGTGTACTTTATTTGTAACACTGAGCAGAGGTTACTGCATGAGGTTTGGGATGGTTGATGGAGATGCTCTATTTCATAGAAACTGTCCAGTCATTTTGATTCTTTTTCTGACTTTATCATCTTGACAGTAAATTCAATAGTCTTCAGGCCTTGACCCTTTAGAAAAGGGTGGGAGTAATACCACAGTAAATCCAACATACCCTTTCTCTCAGGCACTCCTCTCAAGCCGAGTTTTTTCCAAGATGAGTCAAGAACATTTATAGTGTTTGGCAGGACAGAAAGGACGATGAAGCCTTGCAGAAATGGTCTGTTGAATTTCTACTTAAACTTTTAAAAAAGCGGCTTCGTGTCTCTTGTTCAGCCAATTTAACTCGGATCATTCTGCCATCCATGTCTCTGTTTTAAGATATCTTTACAAGTCAATTCAAAATACTGACATTCATTAACTTTCAGCACTTAAGCTTAGATTTCTTCTAACATAGAAGAGTTGATCTTAAGAAACACAGGGTGAGCATAATTGTCTGTACTGTAAATATAAGACTTTGTAGAAATGCTCTTTTTGAGAGCACACTATTTAAATATTTTTAAAAGATTAACAAAACAGTTCCAGAATCTATATTTTAATAAAACCCATAAGACTAACAGAGTCCAAGATAAGGAACTGCAGAAAAGGGGGGGGGAATGAAAGCCTCACCTACTGATGTCAGTGGAAGTTAACTCATTGACTCTGGTGGGGCCAGGACTTCAGCCCAGGGCCCCCAGTTTGCTGATCTTTATCTTCCTCAACTATTTTATGTAATATGTCATGGAAGAGCACATAACCTTCAGTTGTAGGCAAGCGTTATGATTTGGAACAAACCAAATGTATTTCTGGGATGATATCCTAAATTATTTATGCTTCTGTAAATAGCATATGTTGTATTAGTTTGTGGATAGAGGTTACTTGACTACTGTAAGTCCTGTTGTTGGTCTCTTGAGCTACAGTAGTTTGCTTTATTCATTTGTAGAATTAAACGTTACTGTTTAATTGTTGTAAAATTTTATAAAATCTCTTTGGGTTTTTTGGTTGACCCAAATATAATGTAAGTCTCAATGACAAAAGAGTGACAATGGATGTTAAACCAGTATGTGGTGTTTTGTAAATCACTGTAATAAGTGTGCAATGCTGTACCTGATGCTGCATGTAATGCATTCACTAGCATGGGTGTATGTGCTTAGCTTTTTGTAAAATTGTTTAATTTAACTGTTTTTAAAACAGAAGGTCTCTGCAAGAGGTCAGAAGAACAAACTAAAGCAAACTCATTAAAATCACCAAAGTTTCTCTAATGTTTTTTAAAGCCAGTTTGCCTCTGAAAATGTGAACCTTTGCCTTTTTGGAGTTCTTCAGTGATTAAAAATCCAAATAGTCACAGCGTAAAAGAAACTGCCTACAGGAGCCTATTCTTAGAACGTTACTAAAATGGAATAAACAGGCACGGAGCAGATGGTAACACTTGTGCTGGTGTCTACCTCTTGCTGCCATAACACACTGTCATGACAGGCTGTGACTCGCTCTTACCTTACAATATCTGGATAAACAGGAGTAGATCAGTAAAGCACTTCTCACAGGGACCACAGTGGTTTTAGTGAGAATCTTGTTCTCCAGGATTCAAGTGTCCCGTCCTGTGTCCGCCCCCGCCCCCCGTTTTGATATGCCAAAATGACTACCTGAAGCGTGAGTGCTGCAGCCTTACTGCCTGTTCTCATTTTTCAGAACATTACGTGTCTCACCTTTTGCGCTTGAAACTTTCACCACGTGACAACATCTCTTGTATAGGGCTTCTTCTTGTCAAGACTGGTGCGTGTATGCCTGTGTTCATACAAAGCCCCACAATACTTCAAGCCAAAAGAACGTTAAGTGCACTATCAGTCGCTTAGACATCACACTAAGCTCTCCCTCCTGATCTAGTTAGCCTCAAAGGAAGTAGGCTTATAACCTGTAACTGAGCCCTGTCGTATTGCATTGGGTGCAAAGAGAACCCAGGGGTAGGAAAGGGGAAGGCCCATGCTGCTGTTGATGTACTTAAAGGCGTTAATGGTATTCAAAGGAACATGTGAAAAATTATTATAGGGGGGTTTTTGTTTTTTTTTATAATGACCTGTTCTCCTTTCCCCCAGTTATGTATAACAGGTTTGCACAGGTGTTTGTATGTTCTGGACATTTAATGTTATGCTTTAAATATGGATGTACTCAATAAAGTCATGAAGTTTCACTGCATTGTTTCTAGCTCGTTACTTCAAAGAACACTGTCCAAACAAAATCTTAAACCCCCAGTATTTTTACTTCCAAGTGTCTAGGCCCTACAAGCACACAGAATGTCTTGTATCAATGTTACTTGTTTAGTTCAATGGACTACAGTGTAAAGGCGCTTATTTATGTAAGTGTACAAAGACTCCCCAAAGGGGTCTGTATTTCTTCAAGATTTAACTATTTTATGGGGTTGAAATTCACTAGCCTTCTAAATTCTGATGTCAGGTGTTTGTTTAAAAAAAGGAGATTCCTCCTGGTATTTCAACAGCATGATTAGCTTTAGCAGAAATTCAGTACCTCCATAAGCTAACTGCTTTGTGTGTAACATTAAGACATCCATTCAAATAAAAAGAAACACACAGCTAATATTTAGCCCTACCAGATGGCAGAACTTATGTCAATGAATGGAATCTCCCCAAATGGAGGCAGAAAACTGTAGAATCTGCAAAATGTAGTACATGAGGAGTTAAAAAAACAAATTCATACTAAGCTGCAAAAACCTTAATGTTTTATAAAATGCTTTGCAAACCAATTTGGCTTCACTGTTTGCTATGGCAGTCAGTGTTAATGTTAGAATTTTTTTAATGACTCTCACATAATCGTAAATGAAATCATCCATTGAGAATAATCTCTAAACACAGTGAAACCTTGCTGCTCCAGAGACTGTGCTCCTATTAAAAAATAAAATAAAATCAGTGGCACCTCTGTCAGTCTAGCATAGAAATTTAATTTAACACAGTTCAGGTTGTATGCATAAAGGTTGGTACCACAACAGGCATGCAAGTACACAAAGTACTCTGCCAGTAGTTCACATCATGCTGATTCAGATTGCAAATGAGTTATTTGGCAGCTTTAATTAACCCATTAATTGATACACTAATAGATTGTGAAGCCAGACTGGGTTTGTCAGGGAGCCAGAGATGTATCTGAGGGATACATTGCTGATTCAGCGCTGCAGTAAAGAAAACTAGTTTCTCCTCCTTTCAATGGACTGGTCATGTGCGCTACTTCCCATTTCTATTTTATATTTAGAACTGGAGTTTTTAACCCTATTTCCAAAGTTTCTCAACTTACAAAGGAAATGAAGCGATAAGGATTTGTTCTTCATAAACACTGCATGTTCAACCTGTTTTCTAGCCTGTTTTCCCCTCTGCTTTTAGCATTGTGACATTTAGTCTCTAATTCACATTGGCTGACACCCCTGTTTTTAGTGAAATAATGTCAAGGCTGCACGCAGCCTTATAAAGTTCTCTGCTGTCTGGCTGAGGCAATAGGCACCGCACCATCACAGGACAGGGGTGTGCGAGAAAAGTGCAGGGCAGAGAACTAAATACACCCTTGTCATCCAAAGATATGTGCAAGGATCCTATTCTGAAATGGACTTAAATCTTAGGAGATTAGCTCTCTACTTGAAAGTTAATTACCCAACCTGCTGTTAATGTTCCTATACTATACACACCTGTGTCTATAAAACAGGTAACCTGGAATGTGAAGGAGAAGGATAGCTTTAAGACAAATCTTTGCTTTAAAAGTGCTAGCTGCACTTGTGTATTAGGAGTTTGAGCATATGGATTTGTTAAGACTAATAAGTGCTTGTGTTACACAATATAAATCCCAATTTTTGCATGAGTTTATAGTAAAATCCAGCCAGTGCTTTCTAGTAGATAACTTTTTTTTCCTCATTTGAAAACATGAAGTACAAATCCAAGTGGGGGCCAAATTTCAGTCAGTGAGGCATCAGATACATTGTTCCATGAATCGTACAAGCCTGGTGCCTTCACTGAAGATCACAGCACTGACTTCCACCGACCCCACCAGAAGCATGACTGGACCCTGGTAAGTAGAAAACTTTAATTAAAAGTAGTAAGCTAAGTCCCTCTGCACTGCCTTACACAGCAGGTTCCTTTGGGACTATTACAGAATGTCATCCCACAATTACCATGAGAAAAAAGGAAATTTCTGGGATTTTTATGCAGATGCCCAACCACAATTAGAAGGAGAGTTGACCATGGGGCACTGGCAGATGTATGCTAGGATTTCATAGATTTTCATAGACATTAGGGCTGGAAGGGACCTTGGAAGATCGAGTCCAGTCCCCTGCCCCAGGATGACTGCCTTAAATTTACCCTTTATATTGAGTCCTACTTAATATAAATTTGTCTTCTCTGAGAGGAAATCCAGATCAATACATTACTAAGTGATACGACACACTAGAGCATAAGCTTCACTTAAAAAGAAAAGTCTCAAGTTTGATGTACTGGTATCTTTTTTTCTTAAGCCTCCTTGCATACAAAAGGAAAAAACAAGCTCCAGGGAGATTTTCTTTTAATTGGGTGACAGTTTATTTGGGGGTGGGGAGGAAGTGGGGGAAAAAAGGCTGAAGGGTTTCAATGTGTATTGGCACTAAGCAATGTCGTAAATTTATTCCACAAAAATCGGAGCAAAAAAATTAATCTTTCTGGTTAAACATACTGGAGTTACTAGGCATGTGAACTCAACCACAGACCGACTTAGAGAAGTAGCCATACATGGACAAGAGCAGTCTTAAAAATTCTCCCCTCAGGAATAATTGCTTTCCACCAAAATCGACTATCAGCACCACCACTACATGTTCTTGTTCACCACTTATCTTGTCTGATGTGGCAGCAAGGAGGGACTGTTGGGTTAGAAGAGCTGAAGGCCACTTTTTATTCTATGGAGGTCACTCTGGGTCCATAATAATCCTTCAGTCACTGATGTATTCAGTTCTGAGGAGCTGCAGAAAGAAAAGCCAAGCAATTACTAAGCGCTGTTGATTTTTTTTTAAGTAAATAAGAACATGTCTTTGAAAGCATTTCTAGTTTTGTTAATGAGCCCGGGAAAAATCAGGCTTGCTGAGGTACCATGTGGCAAAGCATACATTTCTCCTTTTAACCGGGAAGCTAGAGCCGATCAAGTGTCTGTCATTTCTCAGTCCCAGTTCAGCTCTCACGTTGCCTTTTCCCTGGTCCAGGTTACAAGACTGCTTTGTTTAAGGAAGTTGTTTTGTGCTGGGCCACTTCCAAATATAGAAGCAGCTCATTCCCTGAGTACAAGCACGGAGAACCCTTTTTGTTGCAAAAATCATCCTGTGGAGAGGTCAGGTTCAACTCTGGGAGTTCCCCAAAGCAGTTAACCATTAAACAAAGCTTGCTCACACAGTGCGCAGGGGGAATTAATCACATTTAACAGTATTCCCCAAATGACGGCATGTGCTGAAACCCTGTCAAACACGTCTGGGGAAAACAGCTCGGGGGCATAGGCAAACCACATTTTCCCCACCCGGTTACAACACGGAAGCAGCACTAGAAAGCGTTATGACACTGCCATGTTGTAAGCAGATTGTTTAATGTTTGGTTTTTGTTTGCTGTTTAGGAGTGGTGAAAATAACCCCAGTTTAAGTTCAACAGGAAAGAACAGTAATAGATCACTGCAAATCTGGTCCTAGGAGAGGGAAGGAAAACCTGTTGTGTCATTTGCCGGCATTTTCTCTTCTCTTTGTGCTTGAGGATCATTCAACTGTAGTGCCAGCCCATTGTTCTCCAGAGTAAGTGTCTGTTCTTTGCCCGCTCGCTCTATGAGCCCAATGCGTAGGTACAAACAGCCGTATTTCTTACCCGGCGCCCGGGGGCAGTGGAATCCAAATGTTAATCAAGATTATTAAAAGATGAATCCAGTTTCTGGAAAGCCAAGCACCACTTGGCATACTCTCCAAGGCTATGCTACACCAGCACAGACTATACTCTTCTAGCTGGGGTCTTGCCCACACAGCTACTGTCCTTTGCTTTCTTGCAAAGCAGTGAAAGCAACAGAAACATGGACAGGCAGAAAGCTCCACCAGTTGTGTGCAGAGAGCGTCCTCCACCTCTGCGGGGAATCAAGGCTCAAGTGCAGAATTCCCAGAGCGCTGGGCCCGAGATGGGAATGGTCATGGCCAGTCCCAGGTCTGTGCCAAGCAGTAGATAAGGGGGCTACGGACAACAGCTAAGAGAAACAACTGATCATCAAATGCCTTTGCTAAGAACACCGGGGCAGATGCACGAGGCTTTCGTTAACTGCTTCAGACCAAGCACTTGCCT